AGACAGAGACAGACAGAGACAGATGGACAGAGAAACAGGCAGGCAGACAGGCAGGCAGGCAGACAGACTGAGTAGACATCTACACACACAGAAGGAAATCTTTAACCACATGAAGGCACAGGAATAAGACAGCCATCCATAAGCCAAGGCCAGAGACCTCCAGAACTCTGAGAAAACAACTTTCTGTTGCTGAAGCCCCAGTCTGGTACCTTGGGATGGCACCTCTGACTCCTGCAGCTTGGGTGGGCTCTGGTGGGGAGGTGTGGAGTGGCAGAGTGACAGTCCCTGCAGCAAGGAGGCAGGACAGCCAAGTCAGAAGACTTCAACGTGCTGCCCTATGCGAGTGGCTCTGGTATAGCTATGTGGGTAGAACCACAGCCCTGAATTACATGGATCTTTCAGTATTACAGTTAAATAGGATCAAAGGCCACATTTTTTGCTCTGTAAATTTGGAGCTACAGCTGTTTGATTTGGTTAGCCTTTGAAGCTGGCTTAGTCCTTATCAGTAAAACCAATTCTAAGTATTAACAACATATGCTATACATATTTTATATGAGCATCTTCTGGAATCTATTAATGGTGTTTGGGGCTCATAAGAGAAAAGAGTCACTGGATTCTAAACCTGTTTCTTGGCAGGAGCTTCTCAACCAAACATGAGCATGGCACTTCCCCAATTTATGAAAGAGACAGAACCTAGTAAGAGTCAGGTGGCTTGCCAAGTTGAGCAAGCCAGATAGGGCCCAGCTGGAGACAAAGCACAGCCTCTTGCCATCCCCCGCGTTGGGCTGCTTTCCTTTTCATGCTGACACTGAGATCCAGGTGTCTGAGACCCCTCTGTCCCTTTGCTGAGCTGCAGCGGCACCATGGGCTCTTGGACTTATACTGCTTGGCCACCTGCTAAGTTGTGTGGTTCAAAGCTCACTGTTTAACCTCTCAAAGTTTCAGTTTCCTTATTTAAAAAAAATGTGGAGAGCATAAATAAAGTTTGTTGTAAAGAAACTGCAGCATGCAGTGCCTATCCTACCACCAGCCCGTCCTCCAGGAATCCCTCCTTCCTACACAGAGAGATCCCTTCTCTGCCCCAGGGGACAAGGTGAGCTCTTTCAACCCTTGCATGCCACAATTCATGACAGTCTCAGGGCAGCTCCTTCACTCCTTGGCATGCCACAGCTCATGACAGTCCCAGGGCTACACGCACTCGCTGTGGCACCTTGTGCTCCTTCTTCGTGTTCAGCTGCCCAGTAAATGCTTCTGTGGATCCAGATGCCCAAATTCTAAATGCTCCTCCAGCCACTAATCTTTTCCTGTCCTCTGGACTCGCCCTCCTAATCTCATTATTCCTGTTGGCCCTTTGTCTCTCATCCCCTTCTCTGACACCCCAAGCTTTTAGCACCTACCACTGTCAAATAGCAATACACTGGAAGAAAAATAAAATTCAGTCATCTTCTCAAATCCCAGGATAGGGGGCCTGCCCCGTAGCTCAGTTCTTTGAGTAGCTGCTTCCACAA